CTTCGCACCCATTGCCTTCACTCCTGAAATCAACGTGCAATTATAAACAAATAAAAAATAAATAAGGATTTCTCTGCTGCCTCTGGCTGGAGTCAATATCTTGGATTTAGCTTTTATAGCAATAAAAGTCAGCTAGGCTTAAAGAAATGAATGAATAGATTGTGGAGCAACATGGCATGTAAATACCACAAAAAGGATCTATTTAATTATTTAATATTATGGATTATTAGAGATATTATGTATGTATGAGAACTAAAACAGCCACTTAAATATGTTCTTAAATATGATCCCAGCGCACACTCAGGTCAGTATTTTCTGTTTCTTTTTAAAAATATATTTTTAAATGACTTATTAAACCAAATTTTGAAGGATATTTGCAGGAGTCCAAGTTACTAAAGATCTCTTCATGCATTTTCCAATCCCTGTATTTTAATTTCCTTTTAAGCCAAATCCAGTTGAAGGAATACTGGACAATTCACAGGGGGCAGCTCATAATGTTCTTTAGGAACATCCTCCTGTGCAGTACAGATTAATAAGACCTCAGAAACATCCCTAAAATGTACAGTAAGTCATTTCGAGTATTACCTATTAATTTTTGCGCACTTCTTCCTTTGTCCTGGTTAATAAGAGTGTTTGCAGTACAACACAGATCAAAATAGGTTTTAGTGGAAAATTGCCGGTCATCCTATTGCATGTTATTTTATCCAGTTTTTGAATAACTTGGGGGTCTGTGTAAACGTTTCAAATGTCGCCTTAAATCTGTTGTTTTTTTCACGGTTGTTTATTTTTTAAGGCAAACAGTACTGAAGCAGCTTTCCCCTCAAGACAGCCCAGAAGACATCCTACATGACTTTTGTCATTGTGCAGAAAATAATTATCTATATGTAAGAAATTGGTTCTACGGTTATGTAACTTTCTCCCTGCTCCCTTTTTTCCGGTGTAAATTAGTAGCCAGTTGTCAAAGGATGAATGTCCTGGGCAGAGGTAAGCTTAAGATTACAATTTTTCTTTAATAAAACTTTGAGTTTGAGTTCTTTAGGTCTTGCGCATGTTTCACAATATAAGAAGTGAAGCCTTTCTGTTTCCTGAAATAATAGAGGGCTTTTAATTTGAAACTTAAACAGGAAATCTTGTTTGTATAAAGCGTTTACTGCGTAACCAAACATTAACAGAGGTACGCGACACACTCTGTGATTACTGAATTACATTAAAAGCCACTTCTGGCCGTTCCCTTGTCACAGTGGATTGCCACAGTAGGTAGCACTGTTGTTTTGTTTGACTTGCCAGTTTTATGCATGATGCCTTTCCTGACAAAACCCCCAAAGTGGATTTGTGTCTTCAGGTAGAATTGTACCAGCAACCTTTCATTTGTGAAGCAAATGTGTAAACCACTATTATATGGTACACTTGAAAGTATCAGAGCATGGGTGTAGTGCTTTTCAGCACCACTACACCCATGTAGTCTTGAATAAATGATTGCACATTCTGGAGTAGGACTTCAACCAAATGGCTTACCCCATCTGCATCAAATGCCGCCCCAAAGCCAAAGTCGCCTCCTTTCATGGACTCTACCAGAGAGGTGGCATAAGTCAGGTTGGGCTCAGGAGGTCGGCCACCAAAGTCCTCCAGAGGTACACAGTTTACAGCAGAGTTAGCAGGAGCTCCCAACTCATCACACAGAATCCTACGTACATAGGGGCCCATCACTGTAACAAAGCAAAAGGTGAGTAGAAGTTAGCAGAATAATATGAATAACAGTAGCTGCAGTGCAGGGCTTACAGGACGTATGATGATGAACTGACCTCCGTTCATGGCATCTATGTGTATTTTAGGCTGATCTGGTCCTGTGAGGAGACTTTTAATGGCAGTGAAGTCAAAGATGTTTCGTAGCATTTGTAGATACACTTCAACCGAGTCTACAATCTCCACTGGACAGAGACAGAAGAACCTGTTAGTACTGGATGAGAGTATGTTTTTTTTCTGTGCATTTTGAGTGACAGAAAGAGGGGTTCTACTAGCATCACACAACAAGAAAGTTTGTAGCAATGTGAGGGAAAATCCACGCTTGTGGATAACACTGAAGAATTCAGAATGATGCAGAGAAGCTTTTTAACTAAACATGCACGAATGTTGTACCTCTGAAAGGTTTGAATTTGTTCTCGAGGTCAAACTCCTGTCTTCCGAGCCTAGAGAGATCAATGCGGAGATCGGGACATATGGCGTACTCCTCGAGTGTCCGGCTCACCTGGTAGATCTTCTCCATCACTGTGTCTGGAGAGGGCCCTGCCAGACAGAGAAACAAAGACAATGAAAAATGCATCCATCACTGGTGTTACAACTCCTGGAAGTGCAAGAGTCTTTGGATACATGCATGAGTTTACTTAACTGCCCATCCAGGAGAAGGTGTGGCACAAAGGCATGCTTAGAGAAACTTGTAATGTTATTAAAGTTTTATTTGGTGCCCTAGGTTTTTTACAAATCTAGGGCACCAATCTTTAACAAATCTTTAACAAATCACCTGTATTTGTCAATTCTGATATCACACTCCATTTTATATCATGGCCTAGGAGCCAAGTTGTAACATTAGCATTAATTTTTGCTGTAAAATATATTTTTTTTAAATCAAATTGTCTCAAACTTCTATTTTTGACTTTAAAATTTCTAAATAAGAGTCAGATGGAAAAGCAAATGTATTTTCTAAATCCTCACCTCCATTTGCCACATTGAACTTGATTCCAAAGTCTCCTCCAGGGCCTCCAGGATTGTGACTTGCCGTGAGGATAATCCCTCCAATGGCCTTGATCTTCCTGATGATGCAGGAAACCGCAGGGGTGGACAAGAGCCCACTGTGGCCAATTACCAGACGACCAATCTGTGCATCACCAATATTAGTGAGAAGCAATAATGGTTTCATATCATTGCAGATATCACCTGGTCTAAAATCATAATATAATATAATATCTTTGTGTTTCAAAAAGAGTCATAATGCTTTATAAAAACAGAATGCAACATATTTGTAAAAAATGTTTAAAATGTTTGTTCCATTTTCAATCAAACATATGCTTTGAATTTTTTTGAAATCCAATCCATTTGTTTCTCTCCTGATTTCAAAAAGTTAAAAATCACTTCCTGTCCCAAAGAATCTTGTCATTCTGCAGGTGACTAATTGGCTGCCTGCTTTAAAAGGCAAATGATCTCCCTCTAGAAGGATGCCTAAATAACAGAACTACGCCTCTATTTATACTAAAGTGGTAATACCACCAACATAATTCTTCTTCTCTAAATAAAATTGTCCTCACTGGAGAGGAATTTGCTCTCCTGGCATCCTCTAAACATCCGGGATGTTGCATGTGTATATAAAGGACAAATCAGAAAGTGAGGGAAAGCCCTAACAAATGGAATCTTCTCAGTAACCAGTGTTGAGAAGGACAGCACATGCACTGGGTGGGTAGTTGGCAAGTGTTTCTATTATCCTTCTGGTTCTTTTCCTTGCAGTATGACAGAGGATCCCCAGCATGTAGACTTAGCCCTTGATAGATTGAACACCGAGGTGTGGGCAGTGTGTTAGCGGTGGTGGAGGGCAGACGTAGGCAGGAAAATAGAGCAGGATGGATGGAAGTGCTGATAAGGCTGACACCAGAAGACATTTGGCTGGACCAGCAGAAAGAATTTTTTTTAAACGCACTGATCCCCAAAACAAATTATATTCCTTTCCAATTTTCCTTTGGAACTTTTCCAAGCCAACTGCAAAGATCTCACAGCCTAAGAGCTGCAGGGACTTTCCTCCTCAGTGCCTCACTTTGTCTTCTTATTTTAACCTATTTGCAGCTGACTTGTTAAATTCAATTCAGCAGGTTTGTATGTATCAGTATCAACAATTACTGCAAATGTGAAAAAACTATAAGCGACTGCACAATTCTGATTTATTATAAAACTCCCAAAGTCCCACCAGAAGTAGCAGAATAACATCTGATGACCCTAAATTTCCCAGCCCAGTGAATTGTTCCATCTCTGTGTTAATGATTTAAACATATGTGCAGGTCAAAAGAAGCCATAGGCTACATTAACATCCTGAGTTTGTTGGTGAAGTTGAATAATTATTCCGCTGGTCTTCCATTCCAACAAGAAGTGTTTTTTCTAAAAGCGTTTAAGCCTGCTTGTAGTAACTCACACCAACGCAGAGCAGAACAGTAACATTACTGCTGGTTACAAGTGACTCCTGCATGCTGACAGAGAGGAACAAATGCATGACACTGGTGGTCGCCCTATTCTTACCCCGTTTGCAGCTGCCATTTGCACTATCACCTCGATGGCAGCTCGGCTGAAGTAGCGGCCGTCGCTGCCCACCACCATGGTGCAACCCTGTCGGTCCCGCAGGTCGATGGAGGACAGCACGCTCTGGATGTAGTTCTGCAAGTAGTTTTTCTTCCCCTCGAACACCGCAGTCTTCCTCCGCAGTCCATTGGTACCGGGCCGCTGGTCCTCGAAGGGGGCGGTTTGGACCGTCACCACCGGGATCGGGCTCGTCTCCATCCTCTTTAACCAATCAAGCAAGTTTGGTGGAGTTTTTTGTTTGTTTTGTTTTGTTTTGTTTTGTTTTGTAGGAGTTTACAGCACTGAGTACAAAAATAAGTTCGATAGAAACAGCTCAAAGATGCAACTTGTCAGTCTAGAGTGAAGTAAAGGTTGTTTCCCCACCGTCGAGGAAAAAAGCGGTGACAGCAGTCCCACACAGGGACGAAATGGCTATAGTGACAAGAAACAGCCAATCAAAAATGTTTTCACCTCGACCCAAGCCAGGAGTCGCATCCTATAGTACTGGCTGAGCTAAGCAGCCACCAGCACTCTCCTCCTCTGCTGGCGGACAACTCCCTCTTCTAATAAGCCTGAACAACTGACTATGAAGAAAAAAAAAATAAGGGAGGGGTGGACTGGTCAAGACTCACAATCAGCTGAGCCTCCGGCCAAAAATAGACATCTGACTGATGGCAAAAGGGAATTGTGTCGGCACCGGTCTGCAACCGGACACGCCTGTGTGTGTGTGTGTGTGTGTGTGTGCTTTTCACTCTAACCCAGGCCATTACTATAGTCACAGAAATCTAGAAGTATCAGAGTGTACCGTTTTTATTTAATTGTTATTATTTTCTGAATTGAAAATGTTTCGATAGATCTTGAATTCTGGGTGTTCTGTAAATTCTTAAGTAGCCCATCCCATAACACGGACCAACTTCAGTGCGCTAACATCTGCTCCAATATTTTGGAAACAGTGCGACCTTGAGGCAGAATGGAAAAAGTGACTTTTAATTATCATTATTATATTTTGTATACTTGATGAAACACGTAAACGTGAGAGTACCAATTAGGGATACAGAATTTCATTTCTAAAACCTGCTGATTAACTTTCATTTGAGTGAGTTTCATTATTTTATCGGCAATGACCAGTGCGAGTTTAAGGCCTGCGTTTGTATAGCTTTTATTCATTTCCTGGTTGGAAATGTGTTTTTATAATTTGACATTGACTTACTTTAATAAAACCTGATTTTTGTCATCATTCTTGTAGCCTGCAGACTACAAGTGAGTTCAATTGATCAAGAGGAAGCAGGCCAACACAATGTTGAACCCTTACGGTAAATACTGTCAGTTAAATTATAGTAAGTCATTTTTGCTGTAGCTAAAATAAAAGTTTGGCATCACCTGTACTTCAGGTACAAATATCAATAAAGACTACAGAAATATAGAAAATCTAAGTGTTTTTTCAAACTTACACACAAACAATAATTTCTGCTCTGAGTAAATCCACCTATAGCTCTTACGAGCACTGTGCACTGACTCAGATTATAACAAAACTTGCAATCGTTTCCCACATATTCATTTTATTTTGCCACGTTACTTAATAAAAAAAAAACACATTCACATTGACGAAGTTTTCCCCTGAAGCAACCTTGACAAATATATTACAACACATCTTATTTACAGACATAACGCACATAAATATCATGCAATAAAAAAAACATTTCTTTAAGAAATGAGCTACGCCAAACATACAGACACTGTAAAGTGTTTTCAAAGGGTTCAGCAACGAGGGTACGACAGTCTGAGGTGCTCGTTTATAAAAGGAGCAGTGCTCAGGATGGGAGGAGGGCAAAACTGATTCCTTGAAGGCTGCAGGAGGGTCGGAACCAAACAGGCAGCAGGGCCAGGCATGAGTTGACCGTAACCGAGAGCACCGTGCGGGCCTTGCTGTGGATTTGAGTTGTGCTGACTGATAGAAGAGGGTCTGCTCATGATGCTGTCGATGCTGAAGGAGCACTTTGCCTGTGGGCCGGACTTCGGCTCAGCTGGATCTGCTGCGCAAAGCTGTGCTCTTAAGTCTTTAGGCCCAACGCACTTTCCGTGGCTGTTCAGGGGTTGTGGTAGGAGGTGGTAGGATGAGGAAGGCATCACGATGCTTTCCTGCAGGGGCATGTAACGAACAGAAGAGGCAGCCGTGTGGCTTACCTGGCCAGTTATGCTATATGGGTGTCCGTACGGCCGGCAGCAGTTAAAGCTGGAATAAAACATCAGTCCGTCTTTGCCGAACTCGGGCTGGTTTCTCTTGAACCGTTTCCTCCGGCGAAGGAAACTGCCGTTGTCGAACATGTCCTCCGAAGCAGGGTCCAGAGACCAGTAGTTGCCCTTTCCCGGGTTTCCGGGCTCCCTCGGAATCTTGATGAAACAGTCGTTAAGGGAGAGGTTGTGCCTGATCGAATTCTGCCAAGCGGGAAACTTGTCTCTGTAGTAGGGAAACTTGTTGCTAATGAAGTCACATATGCCACTAAGCGTTAGCTTCTTCAGCGGGCTCTGCAGGATAGCCATGGTGATGAGAGCAATGTAGGAGTACGGGGGCTTTACCGAGCTGCTCTGGGCTTTCCTTGACGCCGGTGCGTCTGCGCAGAAACTGTTCTCGCTTTCCCCCGACGATTCTGGTTCTGAAGAGTCAAATTCCGCACCAGATTCTGCTGAGGAACCCGTAGAGCACTCATTTCGATAGTGGACATCCTCGCCTACTATGTCAATCGCATCCTCTTGTATAGGCAATCCGGCATGTTGTGAAGCTTCAAATTCACTTGAGAGAGTCATGGTCACACCTAAGATTTCTCACAAACGCGTAAAAACTAAACTGTGCCAAAGAGGCCTTAATGGTTTGCCGTGCGTAAAAACCAACAGGCCCCTCGACTGTGCGTAAAAGCGAATCTATTGATACTTCTTGTGCTATCGTGATGAGAGCTGTGGCTTTATATCCTAGTAAGCTGCTGCCCTCCAGGCCAGTCCCATTAACCCTCTGGACCTATCAGAGTAGCCTTACACCGCGGGGAGCCCCGGGAAGCAAACAAATGAGGAAAGGGGAATTGCGTGGTCCTGATGTGCGTAAGGCCCATTCACACAATACATAGAAACACCACGGTGCCAGTATGTTATTATTGTGTTTATTACGCGTTTTATTTCAGTTATACAAATCCTGGAAGCGGAGACAAGTCAAATTGCGCGGCGTGCGCGCGCGCGCACACTCTTATACAAAAAACATTGCATCTGATTTACTAGTTGTTGGGTTTGGGATTTTGTTTTTGTTTTTGTTTTTATGGTTGCCGGTATCGAAATCTTTGATTCTTCATCGACCTGTAACTGTCTTGTTCTAAGAAACAAATAACAAGTTAAAACTTACATTTTATATTACAAATCGCACAGCAGCAGAGTGGTGTGTGCGTGTGGGGGCGGGGGGGTGTCTTGAGAATTTTAACACCAGGCCTAGCACGTGATAAGAAATCAAGGCTTTCTCACTCGGAACCCCCTGTGGGTTCGTTTAGTTTGCCACCTCTGGATGCCCGTGGGTGGTTTGACCATGAAAATGGCCATGGTAGGGCTTCCCGCAGCCAGTTAAGAAAAGCTGCAGCAGTCGCCTTAACGAGGCCATCAGCATCAGAATCGCAGTCGGAAACGGCACAGCTGCACGGTGCGCTTTGTGTTTGCGCGCACCTTGGTTTTACAATCGCGACAAATGTAATGCAAAGCCGTTCTTAAAGCAAACCTGGCCGACATCAGACATGTGCTAAAACAGCGCTGCTGTAGCATCTCCATTGCAAATGACTAAGTTGGGGAAACTCCACCCATTTCTTCACCTGACAGGACCTACTGTGCGCGCAAGAGATGGTTCTCACATATCTGTTTCAATGAAGGCTTAAGTAACAAATACCAAAAATAAAAAATAAAAATAGAGTAGCTGTATTTGTCAAGGGCGAATTTGTCAAGTGTTACAATCATCAACTAAAGCTGCAAGCGCTATTATTTGACAATACTGTGAGGTGCGCCCCTCACAGTATTGTCAAATAACTGCATTATTCAAAAGAAAATAAATGACACAGAGTGTATTTTTTGAAAAGGAAATTAATTTAAAGAAAACCGTGCTACTTACATTTATCTATTCAGAACAATATTTACAAGCAGTGATGCTATTTTACCAGGAAACTGATGAAAAACAATTGTTTTGAGCAGGTTTAGCAGGAAATCAGTAGAATACATACTTCAGAAGAAAAACAAACGTTTATTTTGAATAATTTAGAATCCACATATTCAAAGTGGGAAACATAGGTAGGACCACTTCAAGTACTATCCATTCCCCAAGTAGCAGAGCATGTGCATTACTGGGTTGGCTCCTAACTTTGTAAATATGTTTATTTTATTAAATAAAACTTTCTAAAAATGCAATGGATTAATTAAATCACTGGACTTGTTTTGGGTAAATTTTCAGGGTCAGAATCTACAACTCCTTCTAAACGTAGCTTTTAAAGCAGGCTGTGATGGACACTAGTGCCTAAACACTTTATCAACCCTCTGATCTACCAAATCTTCATATAGAAAAGGAGTCTGAATGACAATCGCAGGACAGCCAGTGCCAACGCTTTTGCTCCAGAGTCAAAATCTGAAGCGAAGAAGAGGAAAAAAGGGCTTGAAGCTAATTTTTCTCTGAGCCGAGTAGCACTGTAGAAACAAACTTTTCCTGCAGAATGTCCTTGTCCAGGTTCCTTCCTGCAAAACAAAGTGGATTTTAATAAAGTTTGGCCACACACAGATATGAAAAGTGTAGGAGTTTTTTCCACTGCAGATAAAATGCCTCCATTTACAGTAATGTCCTTTGGTTATTAATGACCAATAAGTAAGCTAGACAGAAAACTAGGACGCAAAGAAAATTTATGATTTTTTTTATAACCAGAAAAACAATTTTACAATGGTGAATAAACGTTAGTAAACTATCTCCATGTAGTCAATACTGGCACAGAGAATGATTTAAAAATCTATAACAAAAGACCATTTTAATCGTTTAATGCAACATGCTGAATTTTAAGTAGTAAGAAAGCAAAAATTGTGTTTTTCACTGATATGCAGTCAAAGTGATTTACAATAAAATAGAGATAAATAAATCAAAAGTAGGAGGAATCACAGTAAATTAAAGTGCTGTTAATACAAAATCAAGTTACAACACAGAATAAAGTAAACCGGTAGAGTGAAAATAGTTTCTATGAGCAAAAGTCTCAACATCAACAAAGTTGTTTTTACAGCTTTTCAAAGCAACCCACAGAGTCAGCTAAACACAGCTGGAGTGTGATACTGTTCCAGAGTGGTATGAGGTGCATAAACACAAAAAAGTGTGTGTGCGTCTTCACCTATAAAGACAAGCCGGTTTATTCGCGGGTTCTCCTCCCAGAGCTGTTGCGTCTCATTCAGCTCGTACAGCTCGTGAACCCCCTGCAGCATCACTTGGTGGCCTTTATCTGCAAACGACACTATGCCCTGTAAAAAACACACCGGTGACACATTAACCACACACTTGGAACTGATTACAGTAGTTAATAAGGCTGACATTATTGATCACTGTCGCCACCGGGGTGTCTATTGTGTTGTGCTGTACCTTTAAGCGGATGACGCTCATCGGCTGCCCGTCTTTGTTACAGAAAATCTTTTCCCACAGCAGATCCTGAAACGGAGGAAAATAAATTCAAAGGACGTTGCCGTTTTGCATATAATTAGCAATAACAGCAGAGATATGAATGATGAAGAGCGTGTTCACCTGGATGAAGGCGTTCAAGGCGTCCTCAGACAAATCCCCAGCAATTTCAAAGGTCACAGTTAAAATACTCTGAGGATGCAACATACAATATCAAAATCAAACATATAATTATAAAATTATTATTACTTTTAAAATTAAAAGTATATACTTCAAACATGCTTGGTTTCTATACGTTTGTGCCCTGAGCAGAACTGATGGGATTTACTTCAAACACAAATTCACATAAATTTTCAGTTTACTGAAACTAGCAAAGTCGTAATGAAAGCTAAACAAAAGAAGTGTTTTTCTAGCACCCAAACTGATGACTTTGTAAATGAACGTGAGAAACAACACGACCCCACGTGGCACCTGAAACCCAGCTCCACACTCCTTTTTTTTTTATCACCCCCCCTCTCTTTTTCCTCTCTCTCTCACACAGAAACACAGTCCCTCCCCTCCATACTTCCTCACAGCATTTAAAGGGCACTTTGCAGATATTTGAGGGGTTTTGTGTCAAAGTGTTAAAGTTATATACTTCCTTGTCTTTTAGTATAACAACAGAATAAGAGCATTCTCATTTACATGAAAAGAGCAACATGGGGGGAGAAGAGGTGGAGGGGATTGAGAGTGTGCCTGTTGAGCTTCATGCGGGAAAGGAAACCTGAGAGAAAAAGACAACAATGCTGTGATTTACCCACACAAATAACCCTAATCTCTCCTCATCCTGTGATAAAAGTTCATGGGTATAAAGCACAAGTGACAACAGAAAGAGACCTAATTGCTTAAAGGAAGCATACGATCTATTAACTGATGAGCATATCCATGTGAAACTAACCCTGGAAGAAACAAAGTTTTGCCAAATATTATTTAATATGAAAAGAAATCAGCTCAAGAGACAATTTGTGATTAGAGTTACACTTTATATTTTGTATTCATATCCAACATCCTGGATTCATAAATGGATTCTGTTTAAACAACTATAACGCCACAAAACGCAGAGAAGATTCTTGCCAGTGTCGTGATCATCTAGTCAACACACAATATTGCGTAAAATTCTTGAGCGACCCTCAAGTTCTCTATATATTTAGTTCTTCAGGCTTTCTGAAAGGGTTGCAAACGGCTGATGTGTGCCAAATTGAAAGAACTGGGCTGAAAAACAAGTGGCAACAGGTCTGATGGCATGATGAAGCTTTGGTACAAATTCTCATCAGTGTATAAGGCAGAGGTCAGCAGAGAGATACAGCAGTGAGTGTTTACACGATGGAGGCTCTGTCATGATTTGGAGCTACTTTCCAGCCAGTGGTGTTGAGCATCATGTCAAAATTGATGGAATTACAAATGAAGGAAAGTACAGTGTGATTTTGATCCACCATGCAATACCATCTGGAAAGTATCTGATCGGCAACAGCTTCATTTTTTCAGCATGACAATGATCCCAAACACACTGGCAGTCAAGTAAAAGCATGCATGGATAGAAAAGCACACACTAGAACACCATTAGTCTTGGACTGGCCTCCCCAGAGCCCGGACCTCAATATTACTGAAGTAATGTGGAAATATTATATTTACGTGCATGATTCAATAAATCACTGCACCTATTCCACATTTTCCTACCAAAATATAAAGAAACAAAGACCGACTTTCAACTTTTGCTCAGTACTGCAAGTCTGTCAGCTGTGAATGTTAAGTTGTGTATGACTCAGTCAGGGTTTGTTTAAAATGTCATAAAAAAACATCAAAAGCCTCAAGTTGATCTAATCACAAAAAGCATTGCGGGGAGGGATTTTTCACTACGGTGAGACAGCCCAGGGGAATGCAGGGCAGAGTTTTAGCCCGAGGACAATGAAGCCCTCTTTCTCCCGTAGGAAATTATGTGTTGAAATAAATTAGCAAACAAAACAAGAAAAACTCCCAGTGGTGTACAAAGCTCAAGAACAGGAAATAAATCAACTGAAAGAGACAATACCTTGTCAAGATGTGCTCTTGTAGGTTTGACAAGTTGGAGTTTCTCTGCAAGACTTCGAGATAAGAGAAATTATGGTTTTACATAGATTTTTTGTGACTCAGATAAAAACAGATAAAGTAAATCAACCTCATTTTTAAAATATTACAGTAGAGTATTTGCAGTTTTGCCTCTGTACGCCACCCCATTGGATTTTAAATGAAATGGCTGAAGTGCAGACTTTCAGCGTTTATTCAAAGGGTGTAACAAAACTACATCATGAACTATTTAGGAATTACAGACATTTTCTTTTCTTTTTTCTTTTTTTACACAGCCTCCTGTTTTTCAGAGGCTTAAACATAATAGGACTGTCGAGTAGTTTCACAGCCAGGTGAGACCCGTTTTCTTATTATTTCATGACAGATTAAGCAGCTAAAAGATCTGAAGATGATTCTAAGTGATGAACTTTGATATTTGGTAACTGTACACTGGAACTCTATATATGAGGTCCACAGTGCATGTCAGTAACCTGGTTTCAACCTAACAGAGCATCCAGAGCTGCTGAAGGCAGAAAAATCCACAAATGAGCAGCAACTGAAGGCAGCTGCAGTAAAAGCTTAGCAGAGCACGGGGAGAAACAGTGTTGGGAGTTATTGACCAAAAAATAAAGTGTTTTTTAAATAAAAATTTAAAAAGTAATTACTTTAAAAAAATTATTTCTTTGTCCAATTACATTTGAGCCTCTGAAAATGGGAGATTGTGGATAATATCTGTAATTCCTAAACAGTTAATGCAATAGTTTAACCCCATTGTTTTGACTTAAAGCCCACTGCAGTGGTGTACAGAAGCAAAATTTTAAAAAATCTAATTTAATCTAATTATATATATATACTCTTTGCATATTATGTTATGTTAGACCACCAATTACATTTTGTGCCTTTGGAGCTGCCTCTACTATTTTTGTACTGTGTGTCCTCTTCTCTGATAGCTGACGTCGCGGGACATTTAAGAACCTGTTTGTGTTGATCTCACACTGTTATTATTTTAAATTGGTAACAGTTATTCTAAGGGGTTTATTGCTTATTGCAGTGCTTCCTACTGCGGACAGTGGGATCCCCTCAATGGACTTTAAGATGAAGCACAAGTTATGAAGTTTGCTGCTATACCTGGAATTATTTCATTTCATTAAAAAAAAAAAAAAAAAAACACACAAAAAAAAACACAAGCAGAAAAAAGAATTCACTTTTTCCTCCAGAGTTGGTCAGGAGTGATCAATAACAATCAAACACTGATGCTGAGCTCATAAGAAGCCACTGCTTTGTTTTTGAGGTTAACCAGCCAGACAGGTTTAAGCTTCTATCTAAAAATGGCATCTGGAAAAATGCTTGGAACCATCTCCGTTGT